CCACCACAGATTCATTCAGATCCACTGTTTTTTTGTCATTTACTGCAAATTATCACACATTTGACAGCTACACTAAGCTACTGTTCCGTTGAAAGTCAGTGTAGAGGTGTAGATTCAGTGTACATTTGTTTGCAAATAAAATAGTTACACTTTATCTACACTCAAATATTTGAAGCTACACTCAACAAATCAAATGCAGTTAGTGCAGAACATTTACACCTAATGCAACAAATAAAATACACTATAAGACCCGTATTTCGGAAATAACCTCAAATTCAAATGATTTGTGATTTCGCCAAAATCTCCCATAATTTTACACAATTTCGATGATTTCGAAGAAAACCCCTTAATTTTATATTATTTCGGTGATTCACCCCAAAATCTTCCTTATTTATAGACGATTTCCTATAAAAATTCCTATGATAACTATATAAATTGTCTTCTTGAATATTTAATTGACCTTTTGTTTGAGAACTCTACTTAGTTTTTGTTTGGTTCTTCCCTTGTCCTCTGATCCACAAGCTACTGCCTTTTATATTATGGACAAATTAATTAATTTTGTTGATGATTTCAACCTTGATTTTTGGTGATAATTTCGGAAATTTTAACAAAATGGGTAGTGATTTCGAGCTAAAATGTACTAATATTTCGGAAGTTGTTCTCCCCTAGGATTTATGCAATAATAATGCAAAATCAATGCTATGTTATGTTGGGAATGGGTTGTGCGAACTAAAAGATCTATTGTTCCCCCTTCTGTCGCTAATGCAGCAAAGGAATGTCACAATTCCTATAAGGACCCTTCCAATCCTATATTCTCAAGAAAGTGTAAGATTTGGAGTGGCTTCCACTTCTATTTGGCTAGTAGTCTACTATCCCTAAATATTTGATAAAACAAAATTTTTGGCTTTCTCTCTTTTGGCTAGAACATCTCTAATTTTCACAAAATCGTCCTTCATGACCAAACATGTCAATTAAATAATAATTGTCAGTGTAAAAATACTATTAAAAGATCAAATAACATTAAATACTTGGCAGTACTCATTGACGAAATCCTCACATGGAAAGATCATATACAATATGTCACCGGAAAGATTAGAAAATAAATTTTTAAATTTTATGAATTACCGTAACATTCTTTCTCCAAAAATTTTAGAAGCTATCTCTGTCTTGTAGAATCAATCATAAACTATGAGTTAGTGGTTTGGGGTAATGCTGGTAGTATATTGGTCTCTAAGTTACAAATTGCACAAAAATACATATTCAACAGAACTGGTTTATAAAGATAGTAATTTACCGAGTATACAGATCAATAACATAACGTAACTAATATTTGTATACACATTCAAATAGTTCATGATTATTAATCAAGAAAATAATCTATTAAGTTCTATTCAAATTGATTCGATTAATGAAGTCGTTGATGCTGCTAATATAACAAATAAAATTAATTTAAATGAAAAACTCCTAAATGTCTTACATTTCAATATTAGGAGTATTAAAAAGAATTTTGATGAGTCGTTAATATTTCTAGAAAGTTATAAAATTAATTATTGTGATATAATAGTTTTGACTGAATGTTTCCAATTAGAATCTATTTCTCAATTTAACCTAGATGGCTTCGCCACCCACTATAACAATGGTAACATTAACAGAAATGATGGTGTTGTAATTTTGGTCAGGTCAAATCTAAATGCAGAATTAAATATAGTTAAACTGGAATATTCTGAGATTTGTGTCACTAAAATAAATCTAAAAGTCAATCATCGGACCATTGACATTACAGGTGTATACAGGTCTCCTCAAACCTCTGCACAAGCATTTATAAGGGATTTAGAAAATTTCATACCAAATCACCTAAATAGAAATATTGAAATATTCATAGGGGACATTAATACTGATCTCCTAAATGTAACCAATCAAGTAACTACTGATTACCAAGCAACTTTTTACTCCCATGGTTTCATGTCTTACATAAACACTATTACGAGGCCACAAAGTAAAACATGCTTGGATCATATATTCTTAAAAAACAATATTAAGACTGAAAATCTATCGGTGAACTCTTATGTAATCAGCTATGATATGACTGATCATGCTCCTATTATGATAAATATCTCACAATCTGCCAAAAACTACACAAGTTCCTACAATACATATAAAACTATAACTAAAAACGATACTGATAAATTAAAACAAAAATTCGAAAGTGTAAACTGGGAAAGTGTTTGCAATGAAAATAATCCAGAAATTACAACACAACTTTTTTATGACACGTATCTTAATATCATTGAAACATGTCAAACCACTCAAAATATTAAAATTAAAATCCATAAAAAAATAAAGCCATGAATAACAAATGGTTTAATTAATTCTATTGAAACTACTAGGGATAAACTTAAAAAAAATCTACAAAAAAAACTATACTATAAACAAACAAACTCACTATAAAACATTTACAAATAATTTAAACAAACTAATATCAAAAACTAAAAATGACTATTATAACAATAAAATAAACCAAAACAAAAATGATCTGAAAAAAACTTATCAATTAATCTCTGAAGCAACCAATGAAAATAAAAAAAAAATACCAATTTACAGATTGTTAACCAACATAATGAGGAATTTGAAAATGATAATGAAATGGCGAATTACTGCAATAACTACTTTTCAACTATTGGCACTAATAAGTTCACAAATATCCCTAAATGTAATGTGGATTTCCCTGTGTCACTGAAAAATCAATGTTTCTGAAACCGATATGCGAAAACGATATTATAAAACACATAAATAGTTTAAAAAACAATAGTGCCCCGGGATTTGATTGTATAATAGTAAAACATCTGAAACTACTACATCCGTATTTACTGGAACCTTTAATGCATGTAATTAATTGTATTTTTAATACAGGAATCGTACCTAAACAATTTAAAACTTCAATTATAACACCTATTTATAAAGCTGGTAATCCAAAATTAATAACTAACTATAGACCTATTAGTTTAATTAGTAATGTGGCCATAATATTTGAGAAATGTGTGAAAGATAGACTGACAGATTTTTAAAAACCAATGACTAAAGGTACGTTTACATCTGACATTTATTGCATGATATTTATGTCTGACAGTTGTTTAGTCCAGTATAAACACTCAAAAATATATGTCCGAGAGAAATTTGTGTGTGTTTACACTGGACTAAACAACTGTCAGACATAAATCTCATGCAATAAATGTAAGATGTAAATGTACCTTTACTTCCCAAGCACCAATATGGCTCTACCGAGGGTCTTAACTCAGGAGATGCTATGCATGAATTGATTTCATATGTTACTGATGAAATGAATACTGGTAACAAGTGTATAGCTATATTTCTAGATCTAGCAAAAGCATCTGATACGGTACCACATCAGAAGCTCTTAAAGGTTCTTGAACAGAATGAAATGAGAGGCATCGTGTTGAAGGTTTTTGAAAATTATTTGACACACAGACAACAGAAGGTAAAGAGACAATGTGAGTAACCCTGAAAATATACAAATCGCAGTGCCTCAAGGGACTGTTCTGGGACTTATACTATTTGGGAAGCCATCAAGACATGTGCTATAGCTGGAATGGAACATGTCAAAAACTGGCTGGATGTTTTTAAATTGTCTTTGAATGTTAACAAAACAAACTACATTGCTTTTTCAAAGACTGGCTGATCGACCTCAATTTAGAAGCTTAACATGTCAAAATTTAGACATACAGGAAACAGAAACATCCAAATATTTAGGTATAATTATAGACCAGCACTTAAAATGGGACTGACATATAATATATATGTATATATAGCAAAAAAACTTAGATTTCTGATTTATAAATTTGATCTTCTAAAACAATTTCTCAACCAGGATCTACTAATAACATTATACTACAGTCTAGTAGAATCTATACTATGGTATGAAATCTTAGTATGGGGAGGCCTATATGGAACTACATAAAATCAGTTAAATGTTATTCAAAACAAAATCTTAAAGTTAATACATAAAAGAGATAGATTGTGTCCCACCATAACTTTATATAATGAAAAAATTAGCAATGTTAGATGTTCATATATTCACACAGTGTGTTGTAATATACAAAAAAATGAATTTTTAAAAAACCCTTTAGAACATAGACATAACACTAGAACTGCATCGAACATTGCATTAAAGTACCAAAACCAAATAGTGAGTTTTTTAAAGACAGTGTAAATTATCTCTAGGGACAAAGTTCTATAACGCTCTACCTCTTCATATAAAATTATTAAACAAATATAAAAAATTCTGTAAAGTTAGCAAAATATACATTTTCCAAAATAATGCAAAGTTTATCAGAATATTCCAAGAATAACGGACTTAATACATGCATTTTTTTAAATAGTTTTTTTTTGTTTCTTGCATAAATTGTTCAAGTTTTATTTCCTTTATAATTCATTAAATATAATTAAAATAAAATTTTAATTTTTGTCAGCACATACAGGTGTTCTCACCTAGCTGCTTGTTATTATATAATTGGTTTCCATTATTGTACTTTATTGTAACTTATTTATTATTGTAACTCATTCTAACTTATAACTGTTAAACTATTTCAGAGTGCCTGGTTCTAGACCCTTACACTCATATTCCAGTTCCTTCTATGGTATTGGAACCATCCATATACCACTGAATAACATGTCTTTCGGTTGCAAGAACGATGGATTCTTGGCTCCATTCTTTGGTAAATAAAGTGTGTATTATAAATTTTTGAATTTTACAAATTTCATGTTTATTTATGGATTTTCAAGTAATCAAGAATATTTTCTTTTCAGGAAATGTAAGATAAATGTTTTCCCATTGGGTTTATTAAATTGATCAACATTTAACCATTAATAATTAAAATTCATATTTTGTAAAATACATTGTTTACCCTGTATTCTAGCCGAGTATATCACTCCTTAATTTATTATCTTAATGAGAATTATAGAAAATAATAAATTATACAAACCTGAATTTTCCTTCAAAACAAGTCCTAGGGCTTTACAAGCCATAACAGTCAAGCTGCCGATAGCTGAACACAGTAGTAAATAAATGATTATATATCTTGTACCATATATTGGACCCACAAAAAATAATATCAGAATTACTAAGACAATCACAGTAACTACGTAATTAATGAATGCTATGTTTTGTACTTGTTTTAAAAGTTCTGCCACTGTTACCACTTGCTCTTCTTTTGGTGAATGAATGACAATTATTGTGGATCCAAGAACACACAGAATACATCCCAACTGAAATAAATAATGTGTAGGTATTTAATGAAATATGAAATAAATGATCAATAAACTTACTTTTCCAAGGAGATTTAATTTTTCATTCAAAAATACTGATGCTAACACTGCCGATACTAATACACTTAATGCACCTAAAGGTGTCACTAATGAGGCAGGTGCAAAGGCATAAGCAGTAAAATTTGCCAGTTCTCCAATTCCCACTATAATAAAAAACTGTAGTACCTAACCTAATAATAGCGTGTATAAATATGAACGAAACAATCATGACTTACTTGTTAAAAGTCCCAACCACCACATCCAATCCCTCAAATACCCAAATCCTCCAGCACCAGCTCGAATGCTGCCTTTTTTACCTAGCCGTATTAAAGAGATCTTTTTTATTATGAAACTAGATCCGATAAACAAAGATGAACTCACAGCTAAGACTAGACCCATGTAATGCCCTGAACTGGTGTACATTTTTAGTTTGGTGGGTTCTGTGGTAACATCCATTGTTGGATAAAAAATACAGTTTAATTGAAGACATTCGAATTGTCAACAGATTAAGTTTTATAATTACTCATTATGACGATAAGATAAAGGTGATATGTTATCTTATTTTATCCATTGTATCAACCATTAGTTTTTTAATAATAAATACAAACACAAACTTAAAACTAACCTCAAAATATACTTGTGACAGTTGTCAGTCAGACGTGCGTCAAAACAGCATGTCAAACAGTGTTGCCAGAATTTTTATGTACTAGATATTACCTTCGAGCATAGGATATTACCTTCGAGCTGAAATATATATGCTCGAAGGATATTACTACATATAAAAATCGGCTACCGTCGATATTGTCATTTTTTCCATAAAGATTAATGCTGCGTTTGAGAATCCACATCGGATGCATCTGAAATGTAAAAAATCTTTGATCACGTGATTTAGTATACGCAAATGCAATGGGACAGATGTGTCCGATGTGGATAAAAAAACGCTCGAGATGTAAAAAATGCATCCAATGTGGATTCTCAAACGCGGCATAAGTAAAACCATAATATTTTTACACTTTTTAATCTTCTATAAGTGTGCACTAACCTAATTAAAGCAACAAATATTATTAAAACACATTTGTAAGCTAAAAAATTAAGAATATGCATTTATTCAAGACATTCTCATATTGTTTTTCATTTTTTCGATTTGACAGTCACACCCGAGAATACCGATCAAGGAGAAGCGACAGTAGCTGTCGGTGCCTTTGATATCGGATGGACCTTTTTCATATCATGACTTTGATTAATACACAACTTAGCACGCTGAGAAAACATGCTTATTTTCTACACTGAGCGAAATAGTTTGGCAAATTATCTGAAATCATTGTTATAGTCCATGCGCAAATGTTGTAGGGTGATTTAATTACATTGAAGTAGTTAGGGTTAATAGCAATTAATAATGATATTTACTGTTCGTAGTCATTTGAAAAAGTAAATAAACTTAATTCTTGGTCTGTTTTGGACGAACAAGAACGGTATGCACAAAAATATCCAGATCCAGACATTCCATTACAACATAAAGAAACACCAAAAAATATCACTCAACAGCTCACACACTAAACACAACTTGGACTGATTTTGACAGATAATATGATTTTGAGTGATACACAACTTATTTTCGCACATGCGCGTATCAAAACGGTACACTGAAAACACCAAGCTGTCGCTTCTCCTTGATCGGTATTCTCGGGTCACACTAAGAGCGCCTGTACGTGATTTTAGCGATGTTGCCAATTGCTTTTTGTTATTTGTTCTAATGCCGCGTTTGAGAATCCACATCGGATGCATCTGAGATGTAAAAAATCTTTGATCACGTGATTCAGTATACTATGCTGCGTTTGAGAATCCACATCGGATGCATCTGAGATGTAAAAAATCTTTGATCACGTGATTCAGTATACGCAAATGTAATGGGACAGATGTGTCCGATGTGGATAAAAAAAACGCTCGAGATGTAAAAAATGCATCCGATGTGGATTCTCAAACGCGGCAGTAAATGTAATGGGACAGATGTGTCCGATGTGAATAAAAAAACGCTCGAGATGTAAAAAATGCATCCGATGTGGATTCTCAAACGCAGCATAAATATATATATTCATGGTAATACCCGAGAATAACGATCAAGGAGAAGCGACAGCTTGGTGTTTTTAGCGTACCGTTTTGTAACGCGCATGTGCGAAAATAAGTTGTGTATCACTCAAAATGATGTTACCTGTCAAAGTCAGCCCAAGTTGTGTTTAGTACGTGAGCAATGTTAAGTGATATTTTTTGGTGTTTGTTTTGTGTAGTAATAAGATGAAGATTTTTACACACTTAGGTATTCTAATGCAGATATAAAATGTGCCAAAAAAGTTATTAGGAAACTAAGAATTTTATCACATGCATAAATATTAAGTATAATGATTTAATCATTTTTGACATTTTATTTTTCATATGTACCCAGACAACACACCAAATCCCAAAGATATCCACAGAATATCTTTTGTGGATATCCAATATATCCACAGGATATCAGAAATATTCCGTGGATCTAATATGGATATCCAAATGTCCGTCTATATCCAGAATATAGAAGATATCCTATGGATATTCAGCAAAATATCTAATTAGTATCTTCCAGACAATACAAGAAATCCCAGAGATATCCACAGAATATATTTTGTGGATATCCAATATCCAAATATGGATATCCAACCAAAGGTCCGTCTATATCCCTGGATATAGAATTCAAATATTCAGCAAAATATTTTATAGGTATCTTTAGTAGACATTCATAAGTAACCAAATGAATGATAACGTCGAAAGAAAATAGAGATAAAAAATATTTCCAACAATCTGCCTTTGAGTTTGCCCACTAAGGAAAAAGTCATCCTTATTAGGACTCTTCAGCAATAAATGGAAATTCTCGACTCCAGTCTCTAATAGAGTCTTAATGCGAAAAAATATTCGATCAACTCAATTATGGCGGGTTGAGCATGAGTAGATACGAAAGTGGTATCGCCATCTATACTTAGGAAGCAAAATCAAAAATTACATCTAGTAGTTATCCACGATGGTTTGCGTCCGCGCTAAGACTTTGATATATGTGGATGTCCATGGGATATTGAATACACCTTAAAAAAATTAATTTTAAATATCTGAACGGTACTATTAGCCACAATGGCGAGCACAACGGCGTAATTTTTTAATAATTTGCTATATAATTACTATTATTTATGGACATTTGCATGTCTATAAATTACATTTTATGGATATAAAATAGATATGCACCATGGACTGGACATTCAGTGGATATTGGGATGTTCAGTAGATATCCAAAGGATTTGGTGTGCTGTCTGGGTAGGTATTGTATTTTGTGAAATATATGTTTTTCTTCTTTTAAATAAATTTAATAAACAATGAACTGCAGATTTTGGTTATTATATTTTGAAATTATATTTAAAAAAATATAATAAATTCGCGTGTTTCAATTAGGATTGGTCAAAGTGGGCAAAATCCCTTTATTATGGCTAAATTGTAAGTTACAATTATGTCAATATAAAGATGTTTTGCCCATTCATATTTACATTTATTGAATGAATCATACTGGAGTTGATTTTGGAAATATTGGTGCATACTTAAACAAGTGTACTATTTCCAAAAATTCGTCTATGCACACATAGTCCAATGAACGTCCATATCCGGGCATCCAGTGTACGTCCGTTTATGCTAATTAAATTGACAGCTGAATATCGATACCCAGAGAACGTCTGTTTTTGGACTTAATTTTAAGTTTAGTAGTATTTTGACGTCCAGTGGACGTCCATCTTATGTCATTATTTATTAAGCCTACCAGATAATACTCATCTATCATATATACTTCTTTTTTTAATATAACTGGTCATTAAAAATTGACAAATTGAATCTATTGCATTTCATTTTATCAGCGGAAGTTTGAAATCTTATGCAATTATAAATGTATCTAGTAAAAAGTTTTCAAGTGGTTCCTTGGTCGAGCTCGTCTAGCAATTGAAAGCGTAAAACGATAATGGATGTGTCGTGAGTTCGATGCCTGCTCAGGTCAAGCAATTTTTAATAAAAAAAAATAAATGATATATAGCGGTTTGCGAAAATAATAAACAAATTATTAATAATATAAAATAGTGTGTGGTAAGTTGCGGTTCTGTAAAAAAAGTGGGGATGTGGTCTCAATGGAAATATAATCCTGGCCGTTTTTTGAATGTCCAGTATTCGACGTCCAAATATATTCCAGAATTGAACGTCCTCTGAATGGTCAAAAGTGTGCCATTTGTATACTTCACTGGACATCTATTGGATCTCGGAAGTCCAGGAAAAACTCATTTTTGGACGTCTAGATATCCAAAATTGTATATCGAATGAACGTCCAATGGACATATTTGTATTGTCTGGGTGATAGCCGGGCCAGGTATTTAACTCTAAATACATAAACCTTAAATGACATCTGGCTTAACTTAGCGAGAAAACACTTGTTTATACAGAAATGAGTGATAAACTTGAAAGTCCTTTTAATATAATATAAATCCAGAAATTCTAAAAATATGTAAGTACTTTTTAAACCTAAAAGTTTTGAAAATATAAGCACATTGCAAATATTTAGTTAAATCTCTCAAACTAAATGTCTTTTTTATTGTTACCTACCTAATTTTTTTTGGCGCCCTTAATTTTATTTACCTGATTTTTACTTAAGGAAAAGGTAATTTAATTTAAAAATGGGGCTTTTATTACATTTTTAACAATAAATAAACCAAATATTGAACAAATTTTATAGATAAATTATAAAATAATAAACGTCTTTTACTTTTATAACAAATAATTAATTATTACATACATAATGAATTATATTTTGATGCCGAAATTTCACCATTGCTATTAACCCTAACTACTTCAATGTAATTAAATCACATTACAACATTTGCGCATGGACTATAACAATGATTTCAGATAATTTGTCAAACTATTTCGCTCAGTGTAGAAAATATGCATGTTTTCTCAGCGTGCTAAGTTGTGTATCAATCAAAGTCATGCTGTGAAAAAAGTCACATACTTTGATTACTATACGAGGCAAGAGAGAGGTCCGACACGCCCATTTTGAACCCTGTGACACAGTTTACAGCTAAAGAATCAGATCGCTCACTCTGCGTCGGCACTTTGGATCTCAATGTTTCAGTTTATACACTGTGCAACTCCGATAATACAATATATGACAACCGCCTATAATAAAACAGCAGTCTTCTGCGTATCCTGAATTTGTATCCCTGGAGTGGATGTTATTTTGGAACTTTCAACTGGTCCGAGTGAGCAAACTGATTCTTTAGCAATAAACTGTGACTCCAAAAATAATATTCACTGACACTGACAGCAGCAAGCAAAATATCAGGTGCGTTTTAATCATCCGCTTCTGCTTCCGGAATTGTCGGTTTAGGGTGAGATTACAGAACGTCTGCAACTTTGCAGATCTGCAAATATGGCGGCAACTTTGAAAATCTGCAAATATGACTGACTTACACATGCAAGTATGAAGTTTTCGTATTCCAAATTTGGGTTTAGTGTTGT